ACTTGTGACACGACTCGTGTGACTCAACACCACCCGTGTTACTTGTGACACGACCCATGTGGCTTAAAAACTTTAATTTCTAAACTTATTTACCCTCAAAATCTCTCGGTTTTGAAGATAACTGATACTTAACTGAATGGGATATTACAATAAATGTCATCATCACAGACACAAAAACTGACCAACATACAAAAAAAGCAAATGTTCATGAAATTAAATGTTTACTGACCAACACACCATGAAATAAAATCACCAATCACCACCATATTCCCTTCTTTGTTGAGTGAAGGTTTGAGGGTCATAGCACTGAATAAAATCTTCAAAAGATGGCATGGACGACACATATGGCTCTGGCTGAGTGGGTTGAGAAGGTGGCTGAGATGGTTGTGGTTGTGGCTGAGATGGTTGTGGCTGAGATGGTTGTGGCTGTGGTTGAGAGGATTGTGTTTGTGGCTGGGATGGCTGCAAAAAAGCAAACAAATAACAAAACAAAAAACAAAACAAAATCATGTCATAGGTTGAATTGTGATTGCTGAAATGACAAAAAATTGGAAGTTGACAAATTTAAAGTATTCACTGACCTGTTGACCTCCACCTCCTCTTTTGGGGCACCTTCTCCTATTATGATTGTTTCCACCACATAAAGTGCATCTCTTGATAAGCCCCTTTCTACTACTGTTTGTTGCTGCCATATGTCTCATATCATTTGCGTCAGCTCTTCTTTTCTTTGTTGGCCTACTCCTTTTTTTCACAGCATCAGGCGGTTGAATTGGACCCATTCCAGACTCCTCAAAATCATTCATCCCTGGAACTGGAAATATCATATGGCTATACATCCTGATATACATGTCGTTTTGAAAAAATCAGACACATAATCAGATATGCTGAACCTATGATAAAAGATGCATGCCAGTGCATGGCAACATGGGTAGCCAACCACTTGAAACATACCACAAGTGCACCTTCTTGTTCCCAATTGGACTATATGGCTGTTTAGTCCATGAACCACCTCATACTTGTCTTCTCCAGCCCAAGTAGGGAAACAATTCCTACTGATTTCCCTTTGCTCTTCAATTTTTCTCACTATATTAGGACAAATGTTCTCTGTGTACTTCTCTATTCCAGCTTTCTTCACTTGGATTCTTGCCATCATTCTCCTTCTGATCCACTCAAACATGTCCACAATAGCCATATCCCTAGCTTCCAAAATTTAGTTGTTGAAGGACTCTGAAATATTATTAACTAGCACATCACACACCGCATTAGGAGAAAAGAAACACCTTGCCCAATGTTCTTCAGGGACAGCCTTTAACCATTCAAATGGAGTTACCTACATCAAATAAACCATATTATTAATAAAACATGAACAACAAAGTACAAACTACCTACAGCAACACCATGATTTGCAACAATTAAAAAGCATGAACACAAAGTAAAAAGTACCTACAACAAAACCAAGCATGAACACAAAGTTGTTCAGAATATTCAGGAGCAAACCAAGAAATGAATAAAAGCATGAACACATATATTATTCAAAAAAATACAGCAGGTTGTTCATATAAAATATAGCAGGTTTGCAGCAGGAACACATTATAGTAGGTTGTTCAGATAAGTACAACAGGTTTGCAGCATGCACTTATTTAAAAAAAAAAAAAACACAGCAGGTTGTTCAGATAAATGTATTAGGTTTGCAGAAGGTTTGCAGCATGAACACATATTATACAGCAGGTTTGCAAGGAGAAAAAAATAGCAGGTTTGTGTAAGGAGAAAAATACCTTGTCATCCTTCTTAGGAACAAGCTTTTGGATCTGACTCATGCATCTGAGGTGCTCCTTGACATTGTATGTGCTGGCTGCCTTCCAAAACCATTTCCTCAATTCTAAATCCCCCCACTTCTGCTTGAAATTATTGTACATGTGCTTCAAACAATATCTGTGCTCTGCCCCCTCAATTTCACTCACAGCTTCAAGCAAACCCTTCTGTCTATTTGAAACAAAAGTCCACTTTCTCTCCCTGTATGGATCTACATCTCTTAGTAGTCTTTCAAGGAACCACCTCCAAGAATCTGTCTTCTCAATTTCAACATATGCCATTGCTATTGGTAGCATATTGTCATTGCCATCCCTACCAACTGCTGAAAGAAGTTGACCACCATGAACTGTCTTCAGAAAACATCCATCCAGTCCTATAATTGGCCTACAGCCAGTCAAAAATGCCTGTCTCATTGCAGATAAACAAACATACATCCTCATGAACTTTGGACATGAGAAGTCATTGTTCACCTTCAGTATTAGAGAACTACCAGGATTGTACTTGACTACTGTAGAACAGTAGTCATATAGCCTCTTACACTGTTCCCCATAGTCAACCTTCAACAGAGAAAGGGCATACACCTTGCCTCTGTAGACCTTGTGCATACTGACATCTACCCCACAATGCCTCTTGATTTTATTTTTCAGACTTACCAAAGTCTCACCAGGATTGTCCCTCAGAGTATCTAACATTCTTTTCCCAAGATATTTGTAGTCAGCCTGTGTGTTCTCTGTCCTGTAAGAGCATGTGTGCTTTCCTTTTAAAGTTTTGATCTGAAATGTGGACAAACCTCCAATAACTGAGGCCCTCAAAGACCAGTCACACCCACTTTTGCATTGTGCTGCGATGAGCTTGGCTTCATTCTTGGGAAACATCAAATCATATCCTTTTCTAACAGACCAATCTCTGATGACATCCTTGAATTTTGCTCTGCATGGAAATTTTTGACCAAATTTCAGCTCAAACCTTGACATATCACTACTATCATTCCATTCATCAGTCTCTTCAAAGCAGTTGTCATCATCCTCAGCCTCACTGTACCAATCTTCTCCTCTAGACCTTTTCAAACCTGCAGCTTCTTCTCTTGCTTTTTTCTTCTGCTTTCTTCTTAGTTTCACCCATTCTCTTGCCCTCTTGTGTATCTTCTTAGCATGATCATGACCCCTCTGCTGGAAAATGTCATCATCATCAGGGCCTTCTGGATCCTCCAATTCCCATTCAGATAATTCAGAAGAGTCACCACTACTTTCTTCAGGTTCATACTCTGAATCCTGTGAATCCTCTGAATCTCCAAAATGATGGTCTGTCCCCTCAGAATCTTGTTCTGCCCCCTCATTTTGTTGTTCTACACTCTCACCAACTTGTTCATCTTCTTGGCCAACTGTCTGAGATCTATCTTAACCATGTTGTGCTTCATCTCTCTGACCAGCACCATCATGTGAACCACCATCATCTCTCTGAACAACACCATCATGTGAAGCAGCATCACCTCTCTGACTAGCACCATCATGTAAAGCAGCATAATTAGTATCTTCTGTAGGATCCACCTCATGTGAACCAGCATCATTAGCATCTTTTGTAGGATCCACCTCATGTGAACCAACATCATTAGCATCTTCTGTAGGATCCACGTCACCACCAACATCTTGTGAACATGCATCATGGTATGATTCTTCTTCATCTTCTGGACAATAATTGTCAATTAGAATATCCTCTTCAGTTTGTGGATATTCAATAAGTGGGATCTCTTCTTGTACATCCATAAAATTCCCCTCAATGTCCAATTCTTGTAGAGGGCCATGCAAATCTTCGAAGTAAAGTGGGATGACATATTGCCCAGTATACTTCTTCACCAACTTCAGAATATCACTGTCACTGGCAATCTGAATCAGCTTTCCTGTTTGTAGAGTTTTTCCAGGCTTGTGTGAAAAAATATCCACAATGGATGACTTGCCACCTGCCTGTCTGTACACATCCATTATCTCATACATAGACAATCTGTCCATGTCATAGTAGTCAACTGCAACTCTTTAACCACAAAAGTAGTGAACAAAGGGCTCCCATTTTATCACTCCACCAACTCTAACATCAAATACAATAGCCATATTCTGCAATTCAACAAGTATGATATGATTAATGTATGAAATCAGTGATCACAACATAAAAAGAATATAAGATACCTATGCATCAATATCACAGAAAGACCCAAATTCTTCTTACAAACAACATCAATAAGTTTCAGATACAAATTCAACATAATATAGGATAAAGTAAACAACATTAATTTCCAAATTACAAACCATGCAAACATATTCAGTACTTTATACAGATAGTATAAATTGAAATAATTCAACCAAAAAACAACATCAACACTATACTCCATTAAACAATGAGCACAATTCGACCTAAAAATAGTATATGAATCACCCTAACTCCCAAATCAGAAAGCCCTAAATTCACAATCAGAAAGCCCTAGTTTCAAAATAAAAAAGTCATATTTTCAAATTCAGAAACCCTAATCTCAAAATCAGAAAGCCCTAATTCCCAAATTCGAAAGCCCTAAACTCACAATCAGAAAGCCCTAATTTCACAAATCATAAACCCTAATTTAAAAATAGAAAACCCTAATTCCCAAATCAGAAAGCCTTAATTCCAAATCAGAAACCCTAATTTAAAAAAAAACAGAATGCCTTAATTCCCAAATCAGAAACCCTAATTTCATAATAAAAAAAACCCTAATTTCCGAATCAAAAGCACAAAAGTTTACCAAATCAGAAGATATCGAATTTTCAAATTTTCAAATGAAGCAATCGAGTTTCCCTAATTTTCAAATCACAAGCACGCACTTCACGGGTAACCCTATTTTCGAAACCACATAACATAAGAACCCTAATTTTACAAATGCAACTATTGGATTTCCAGGTATTAACCTTTAATCGTCGAAGATTCGAAATGTACCTTATGCGCCATCGAAAAATCGAGAAGTTGTCGCTGCAAATTGAACCCTAGCTTTTGAATATCGAAAATTACTCCTCCATTCGGCTCGAACATTGAAGATAAAGTTGCATCATGTTATGCGCCATCAATCCATCTACAAATTATTAGTTGAAGATCGACAATTTTTTTGGAGAATCGTGGTGTTGAGATTGGGATTTTTTTGAAACAATCGGGGAGAGAGAGAGAGAAGAGAGAGAGAGCGAATTTAAAAAGTTAGAAATGAATTATGTTTCAGATGGGAGTGACTTCTCAAGTGACAAGGGCATAACGGGATGTTCACAAAAAAGTTAACGGTGTTAACTCCCAGACATAAGTTGGGGAGAGTATGCTAGCCAAACTACAATAGAAGGGGGTTTGACGCATTTTTTAAAATAGAGGGGGACAATCCGCAGATTTAGTATATTACAGGGGGGTTTGGTGCATTTTACCCGCGTGAATTTGTAGCAAATTCAATCGAAATTCAAGATTGGAAAAGGATGAGATCACAAATTGTGTGAGTTCTTTCTTGTTTCAAGATTCGAATTCAGAGGAATTTTGGGAAATTTTAGATTACAATGTGATGAGACTTTATTGGAAAAGAGGAACAAGAGGATTTAGGATTCTTTTTTATATATTTTTTGTACCTCCACAATAGGATCGAAAATGGAGTTCATATCAAGCTTTGCAGGAACATTTCCAGGTGAAGATGTAGCCGCTTTCTGGCAAAAATTGACTCCGAGTAAATTACGGAGCCCTCCTTCTAGCGCCAAACTGTTGATATCGAAAATCGGACGATCAACTGTTAAATATAAATTGAATTTTTCGTATGAAAATGAAGAACAAGATAATTGAAAATGGTTGCTCATTGTATTCCATGGGAGAGTTTTCTCCTCTCTTTTTGTAGTTGTTGGGAGGAAGAAGATGAATAGTGAAAGAAAAAAAGAAAAAAGTCCCCCTCTCTCTCCTCTCATTCTCATATATATACACCCCCACCTTTTTACAAGTGGGTGAATAAAAAATAGTACAACAATTTAGTATGAGATGATCCTCGTGGGACCCTCTTATGACTCTTGACGGTTCCGATTGACGTCCATCTTTTTGGCAATTGCGGCGTATTCGCCATCCGGAGACCTTGCCGGCTTCTGGTTGATCAGTGCCGAGAACCTGTTTGTATATTTATTTATTGTGTATTTTCGACTCCTCGGTCATTGGTCCTTACTTTATTATCTTACTTATCGTTATTTAATTAGAGCGAAATTGGGTATCAACAATGTTTAAGATATAACGTCCGTTGATTAATTAAATTACTGACAAAGTAATTAATCAACTTCTTATTCATTTCCGAAATTAGTACCACTCAGCCTTTAACCATTATGTCAGACAATCGTCTACCTGCAGGGTTTAACATAAGGTTCCTTTCTGAGCTCATTTCGGGGACGTCATCAATCCAGCGCACTGGAACATAGTGACTGTAAATAATCTATAATAGCACATCATATAATTATTCTTACTTACCAAAATACCTCGTATGTCATCCTAACAGAATAGGAATCACTTGGTAAATCAAATAAATTAAGAGATAAAAATATATGCCTATTTTATATTATATTACAGCTTAAGAGAACGCATCAATCACTGAAGGGCGAGGTTACAACAACGGTCAGTGAGTCTCATAACCTTTGCCTTCCGCGGCCCTGTTCAACACTTAACATAAGTGCTAGAGTAATCCTTCAGTCAAAGACCAACTGAATCGAGAATACACTACAGTCTTTTTCCAAGTGGGGTCTCACTGCCAGTCTAGACTGTGAACGAATAGTTTAGTCTTATAAGGAACCGATAGGTGATCTTTCTGTTCGAAACTCTTCGAACCACACTACCTCAATATAAGACATGGAGTATGTATTGCATAAATAAATAAACTGCAAACATATGTACTTTGACTGAAACATGATTGCCAGATCAAAATGGAATTGATAGAAACTGCAAAACATAGCTTTTACAGCATACCTCTAACACTGGGAGAGCCTTCTGGGGCCGTCCCAGACGTTCTTGGATCTGACCCATGGACATACAATGAGGCACTCCAAGATCGGGACGCAGAGTCTTGGCAAAAGGCGATGAAATCTGAAATAGAGTCAATGGACACTAATCAGGTCTGGGATCTTGTAGAGCCACCCAGTGGCATTCGCGCCATTGGATGCAAGTGGGTCTATAAGAGAAAGAGAAGATCAGATGGGAAGGTTGAGACCTTCAAAGCTAGGCTTGTTGCGAAAGGGTACACTCAGAAAGAAGGGATCGATTATGAGGAAACCTTTTCGCCGGTAGCCATGCTCAAATCCATCAGGATTCTCTTGGCTGTGGCCGCTCATATGGATTATGAGATTTGGCAAATGGATGTTAAGACCGCTTTCCTTAACGAGAATTTGGACGAGGACATCTATATGCAGCAACCAGAAGGATTCATTGCAAAGGGCCAAGAGCATCTAGTCTTCAAGCTGAAGAGGTCCATTTATGGGCTAAAGCAGGCTTCGAGGTCTTGGAACATCCGTTTTGACGAGGTTGTCCAATCGTATGGATTTACCCAATGTCCGGATGAGCACTGTGTGTACAAGAAAAGTGATGGAAACGTGGTGTTGTTTCTAGTGCTGTACGTGGATGATATTCTTCACATTGGAAACAGTGTGAAGATGTTGTCAGACGTAAAGGTACGGTTATCCAAGCAGTTTGATATGAAGGATTTGGGTGAAGTCGGACATGTTCTCGAAATCAAGGTCATTCGCGACCGAGAGAAGAGAAAGTTGTGCCTATCCCAATCCACATACATAGACACTGTCCTAAAGCGTTTCAACATGCAGGATTCCAAGAAAGGGGATTTACCCTTTCGACATGGAATACCTCTATCTAAGAGGATGTCCTCGAAGATGCCTCAAGAGATAGAGGACATGAAGGTAGTTCCTTATGCATCGGCAGTAGGAAGCCTCATGTTGTGCACGCGACCTGATATTTGTTATGCCGTGGGCATTGTAGCAAGATATCAGAGTAATCCAGGGCCGGAACATTGGTCTGCGGTAAAGCATATACTCAAGTGCCTTCGTAGGACTAAGGAGTACATGTTGATTTACCAGGCAGATGAGTTGCTTCCGTTGGGTTACACCGATTTTGACTTCCAGGCAGACCGGGACGAAAGCAAGTCAACCTCAGGGTTTGTGTTTACTTTAGGAGGAGGAGCCATAGTATGGAGGAGTGTCAAGCAGAAATGCGTGGCGGACTCAACCATGGAGGCTGAGTATGTAGCAGCCTCAGAGGCAGCGAAAGAAGCTGTCTGGCTCAGGAATTTTCTCCTCGACCTTGACGTGGTGCCGAGTTTGCCCGCTGCAATCACAGTGTTCTGTGATAACAGCGGAG